CTGCTGCCCTTGTTTTCTTTCAGATAATGACCTGTCAAGGCAGAATAAATAGAAATATTGTATTCTATATGCAGTGGCAACTTTAATCTATCAAGAGATCAGTTATGTTTTTAAAAATGTTGTTGACACAATTACTTCCTTTCCCTTATTTTCCCCAGACTATGCTGACAACCATATCAATGAGTGCTATTGCCACAAATGGTGTTGTTCCAGGTAAGTATAGTCAGCAAACCTTTCATTTGTGTTTAAAAAAAAACGTTCCTGTAAGCTCTTAGCATGGTTTTATTCCAGAAAATTTACTTAAGCTGGGATAAAAAGCCTGAATTCAGCTCTAGTATTTCTTCTTCTTATCAATAAGGCTAAAGATTGATTTATTTGGTCATTGGTTACACCTGTGCTAATGAAAGATATTTGAATTGAAACTGCCCCCCCCAAGCAGATACACAATGTATGATTTTTGTTGTCTTCATGTGAATATTTTACAATTTATAACAATAAATCAGTGATAATTTTACTCTCACTTTCCTTGTTTCATAGCTGGTGGCTCCTACTTCATGATATCCAGGTCACTAGGCCCAGAGTTTGGTGGAGCTGTAGGGCTGTGCTTTTATCTGGGAACAACATTTGCAGGAGCCATGTATATCCTTGGTGCCATTGAGATTTTATTGGTGAGTAGTACTGGAGTAGTCCTGCTTTTAAGACAAATGGCATATAGAAAATGCCCCAGTATTCTTTTCCCATGTTTGTATACACATTTATGGGTAGAGACAAGAAGGTCTCTTGGTGTCTAATTCTGTACTGCTATTTCTTCCCTTTCGATGCTGCATGTTCTGTAGGTATCCAGAATGGAAGCTCTTCTGAAAACATAGATGGAAGTATGAATGAATCAGGCACATGTTCATTGCTGGGAAAGTTGGCTCATTTGTACGATGGAAATAGAATGAGCCATTATCCCTTGACTTTTCCTATAAACTGAAGGTTTCTGTTGAAGAACATGTTGCAAATTTCCAGTATAGGTACAAGATCACTACAGTAATATAGAGGTCTGTTCCTATGTTCCTTCAGCTTGCTTTCTTCTTCTTTCAGACATATATTGTGCCACAAGCAGCGATTTTTCATCCATCTGGTGCCCATGATGCATCTAGCACTATGCTGAACAACATGAGGGTGTATGGCACTGTATTCCTCATCCTGATGGCAGTGGTGGTCTTTGTGGGTGTGAAATACGTTAACAAGTTTGCTTCCCTCTTCTTGGCCTGTGTAGTAATATCTATACTGTCCATTTATGCTGGAGCTATCAAGTCCATCTTTGATCCGCCTGAATTTCCGTGAGTAGTATTTCTGCATGGAGGTATAGCTTTGCCTGCAGGTCTGGAAGGTGGGGTTCAGTGGAAGTTACTTAAAACTTGTGCCTCATACCTTTTTTGTGAATTACTTCTGATTATTTTTAGCTGTATATAGTGGCAGTGGTTGTCGGCTTCATGTGGAGCTCATGGAATAGATGTTTTGTAGGCTAAAACGAATGCATGATTACATTCTTTAACTGTTTTGGTAGAATGAAATCTTGTGGTGAGTATTCAGATTGATGGAGGCTGACTTTTTTCTGCTTTCTGTGAAGACAATCCAGTACCTTAGCCTACGGCTGTTGAGTTACATTTTAGCTAGAATTTTGCTGGGTTATTTATGGCAGGTAGTAGGAAGCAGTTAGGCAGGTCTGTTTTCCTGAGGCCAGTCAGACATGATGTGCTGCCTTTGTGGCTGGAAACTATGGTGGTGTGAGGCAGCTGCTTGCTGAGAAATAGGGTATCTCTTAGGGAGGTGTGATGGTGGGGCTGTGCTGAGGCTCCAGCAAGACTTCCGCTTGGTCTGGAAGCAGATTTGTCTGCTGTGTGAGCAGACTTGCTGTGAACACAACACATGCTCATTGGCATGTTGACAGTTAAACATGTAACACGACTTCTTAAACTCAGACCAATAATGTGGATACATGTGTTTTACCAGAAATGCAAACAGTATTTCCTGATACTGCTGACAAGAGATGAATGGAATGAAAATAGAGGAGTCAAGTCTGTGTAATTATTCACATCTTAAAATGTTGTGACCATAACTAAGCACTTGCAACCCTCAAGGGCTCCCTTTAGGTATTATGGGCCCAATGATTATAATGTTTTACAACATCGGCAGGTTTACAGCAGTAAAAATAAAACAATGTCTCTACCTCCCCCTCATTATCTCTTGGATTGTTCTTTAATGTCCTCCCTATCTTCCTTTTTTGGGCTGTATTTCTTTCTCTGGAGAAACTAGTACAACATCTAGTTACTTGCTGAAGTGACTAGACATTGTACCTATTTTTAATTCTGGAGGGGAAAGCTCTGAGGTTACAGTTCACAGGCCTGCAAACCCTACAGAAATGGCTCCGTCTCTTCCATTTTCCTGGCTTTAGTGATTGATAAGATCTGTGAAACAATTAAACTTACTAAAATTAAAGAAACATTACTTTTTTTTTCCTGTGGATGTTTTCTGGCACTGGAAAGAGAAGCTGAATGAGCTTTCAGTGGCAGCCAGCTGTTAGGTTATATCACTATGTCTTGTGGAACCATCTTTGGAGAAGTGGATTAAAATTTTTCACTGCTGGAACAAATTATGTTTGTGGGGAGGTGAAACACAACAGGCACTGGATGATTTTAGGAATTATGCACAGTATCTTCTGACAAGAAGAACCTTTGCTTATTGTGATTGAAATGTGTGTTCCTATGTCTGAAGCTAAAATGTCAGGCCATTTGAATGCTACCCTACAGAAACTGGGATAATGTGATTTCTAATATCTTTAGATTTTCTATATATCTAGGAATTTGAATCCTACTATTCAGAGCTCTTCCACTCCATTAGTTCTGTTTAACTGGGTCTGGGGGGAGGGAGACGGCAGAGAGGGGAGGGAAAGTGACCTAATCTTTCCCTTTCATTGTTTAAAGTAAATTTACCAAATTCAATAAATCACACTGATGTAGCTTTTTGGGAAAGTGGCTTTATACTTCTGACCCTTAAAGGAAACAGTTACCCAGTCTTTGTCCTGCTACCACCATCTTTTTGAAGCCGCTTTACTTAGCAGACTAGAGCCACTTGAGGTTTCCACAGTGCGAAAGAAGTATTATGTGGAGGGTGGATTTCATTTTCCTGGTACATGTAGTAACACTGATTTCCATACTTCCCTTCCAGGATTTGCATGCTGGGCAACAGGACATTGTCAAGAGATCAGTTTGACGTTTGTGCCAAAACTGTAGTTAAGGATAACATTACCGTGGCCTCTAAGCTTTGGGAGCTCTTCTGCCATAGCACAAACTTAACCACTGAGAATTGTGATGAGTATTTCCTAATGAACAATGTCTCAGAGATAGCAGGAATTCCAGGAGCTGCTAGTGGCATTTTGAAAGGTATGATAGTGTTTCTTTCCCCCCTTAAGGAGGAGGCATGCTGAGCAGTTGAAATGGGTTGAACTCTGTTCCCTGCTGTTTAAGAAAGAGAGATTGAAGAAATGTAATTACAGTGAAGAAAATTATCTTCTATAAAGAAAACCAGTCTTATTATCTTTAAAAAGAGTACGTGACACTTTTGTCCAGATACAGTACTTGTCTGCTGTGAAATTGATTAAATTTGCCTTCTACATCTCATAATTTCAGCAGAAAGTCAGTTGTGATTATGAGCTAGACTAATGCAAGTTAGTTGTTAAAGTTTTTCAGAACTCTGTGTAGCTGTGACTCTCCATTTTAGACAGATTAAGATTATATCCTGATAGATGACAGTACTCGCACACCAGTAGTGTAATTCCTTCTTTGCCTGCTCCTGAATATAGTATCACTGAAAAGTGTTCATTTTGACATGAACTTCAGAGAACAGTTGCTTTGTGCAGATGCTGAGTAGTGCCTAAGGTTCCCCTTTTCACAGGAACCACTAGTCTAGTGTCTAAAGTGGACTTGGTGAATTTTCAAAGGACAACCATGTAATTCTGTAATTCTTCCACTGTTTAAAGAGCTCATCTGTTTATATCTAGAAAGCTGATCAGTATTGCTTTGAATTCTCTGATCTGTGGTGGGTATGGGTCATTAAAAATATTCAGAGTATCTATTGGGATTAAGATAGGTATGAAGCTAAAAGAATGTTACATCTAGTAATATTAAAGAACAAAAGTGCTTAGGCTTCTCTAGACTATTCATACATATTTATTGGCTTTGTTACAGATTCCCTTGAAAGCATGCAAAATAAATTTTCTTTGATGTATTAATTTGTGTTGATCACTGAATTGCGTTTGTAATGCTCAGTTGTAGACCCATTATAATGCGAACAGGTTTGAACTGAACCATGCTTTTCTTTTCTGTGGTGTGATGATAACACTGAAGACAATTTATGGAGCAACTACTTGGAGAAAGGAGAAATACTGGAGAAAGCACATCACCCGTCTGTGGATGTGTCAGGCCAGAAGAACAACCTCCATCTGTACGTGCTTTCAGACATAGCTACTTCATTTATGGTGCTGGTTGGCATCTTCTTCCCTTCGGTGACTGGTGAGAATACTGGGATGAGGGGGCATCACGGGGCTCTGAGCTTTCTTCTCTCCCATGATCTTATGTCCAAAATATATTTTCAGGTATCATGGCTGGTTCAAACAGATCAGGGGACCTCAAAGATGCACAGAAATCCATTCCCGTTGGAACAATTCTTGCTATTGTCACCACATCACTAGTCTGTATCCTTTTAAAATTAGAGTCCTGGCATGTTGTGAGTCACTCAGGTGAATGAGTGTGTATCCCATTTGTGTAACTGCCTTCAGGTGGCTAAATTATCAGTGTGAGTGTGATTGGACACTGGGGAGTAAAAAACAACTGTCCTTGAGCTGAAAGCATTAGATTTATTATCCTGCAGTTTTCCATTCCCACAGTTTGTGTTAGGGTAATTGTTTTGGTCTTTTGCCTTTGTATTGCTTTACTTTGCTATGCGGTGATCTATGGCTTTCCAGGCTGGTGGAATACAGGTATACATTTTGTTAGAATGCAGTGGACCATTAAGATCAGGAATGTAAGACATCATAAATTTCAGGTACTTTAAAAAACAAACAAAAGCCTTTCAGTTTGAGTGACATTAAGGAGTACAGGCTTTCTTGAACATTTTAGGGTAAGATAAACTAGAGTTAGAGATTAGACTAGATGTTCCCCAAGCGGGTTGGGGGGAGGGTCAGGAGGAAGGTTCATGAATTTCTGTATTTATTTTGAAGTTGGTGAAACAACATCATCTTACATCAGTTTATAAGACTGTATTACCTCTCCCCGCCTCAATTTTTAGCACATTGATCTGATTTAATGCTATTCCATGATTCTTAGATACATCCCAGCTGGCATGCCTGGAGGTGTTACAAATTCCCTGCTTAGTAGTGAGCTCCATGAAGCTATGAATGACTCATTGTTTCCTGACTGTTTCTACTGAGACTAGAGCACCTAATCTGCAGAATATGAGGATGTTCCTCATACCAGATTTCTAGGTGCTGAGTGTGTGTTCAGAGGAACAGCCTTTCGTCCCACTTGAAGTTCAGGGTTTAGGACTGCAGGAGCTTTGCTCAGGAAAGACTGTCTTAATCTCTTCCCTCCTGGTAGAGAAGAGATGAAGCCATGGTCTTTCAGCTTCATCTAGCTGTTGGTGTCTGTCATGGTAAACCAGATTGTACTACAATTTATTAACATAGGATATTAAAAAAAAAAAGGGGGAAAGGGGGGCAAAGAAGGCAAGTAATATGAGCAAGGACTTCATAACTTCTTCGTATGAGCTTTCTGAATAAATCCCACCCAAAGGACAACTGTCCAAGATGGGGGCTCCTGAAAATTCTGCTGTTTCAAACCTGGTTTTCACAAGAACTTGCCAAGCTGTAACTTGGGATCCCAGCTTGCTTGTGCCAGCTTCTTTGGAGCACAGCCTTTTCCAGATGTTCCTTTGTGTATTGACCTTATACCAGGAATTCTGCATTTTCTATGAATGTAATAAGTATTAAGACAGGTCACAGCTATAACCCCCAGCTCTAGGGTTGAAATACTTGCAGTTCAAAACTTTTTTGTTGGTAACTTTATATATAGGTGTTAATACGCCACCCTGTGGAAGGCTTACATGGTAACTTTTAGGCGTGATCAGTGTTAACCTTTGTATTACCTTTTGTATTTTACAATTGCATTTCAGGGGTAGAGTTTAGGATTTAACCATTCATATAAACTTAAATTGAAAGATGAAAAGCTTTACTGCGATGCCAGATCCAAAACCTGAGGTATTGCGTACTCCCCAGTGTAGCAGTAGTACAGATTAATAACAAACACGATATTCAGAGACTATTGGTAATGTGAATGCTATCAGAGACCACAAAACGAGAAAGTGCAAGGTAGTGTTTTTCTGTGTGTCCAAAATATCTTCAAACACAGGAGAAGGATGGAGAAAAGAAAGATTTTAATAAATTTCTATTTAAAACTAGCAGATTAAATTGATGTTTACATATAAAAATATTTCTTCTGGAGTTATCTTCTTTATTGTAACATTTAATAGTATTTTTTTTTTAAATTTAAACTTAGAATAACAACTTTATCTCTTTAACATTAGAAGGTGTATATGAGCAGTGAGACATTAACTTACTCACTGGCTTTACCTTCTACTAAAGGAGATGCTGCAGTGCAAATGCTGTAGAACAGAGGCACATTTTGAACTTTCCACAATACTTTCTGTGGTTGCTTTTATCTGCCATGTCTAAATAAATCCCAGTTCCTTAACGCAGTCTCTACTCAAGACTTCAGTTGTGTATTATTGTTTGGAGCCTGCATAGAAGGAGTAGTCCTGAGAGATAAGTAAGTTTTACTGCTTTTCTGCTCTCCTTTTCTCTTTTTTTTTTTTCCAGAGAAGGTGTGTTCTTCCCCATTTCAGGCCCCTCCCACTTCTAGGTGCCTTCTAAACCATATTTGTATGTAAATTGTAAACAGTGTTTTGGGAATCTTCTTGTATTTGATTTGATATTTTCCAGCATGGCTACTTCAGATTTTCCATCCTACGTCTCAGTTCCTGCATTTTTTTTAATGGAAGTGGCAAACCATGGGATAACATAAGAGTTTTATGATACATAATCAAAAGAAAGTTTTTGGATTGTTGAAATCAGGCTGCAGAGACTTCCTACCTGTGTATCAAAAGTAACTCAGACTGTTTACTACTTTTAATATTTTCTACTCAAGAAAATATGTAATATTTAAATGACATCTTAAAACTGACCCAAAAAACCTAATGTGAGTGTCAAAATGTCTTGCTGTTTCTCTCTGCAGGTATGGCGATGCGGTGAACAGGAACCTGGTGGTGGGCACGCTTTCATGGCCCTCACCATGGGTCATTGTGATAGGATCCTTCTTCTCTACCTGTGGAGCAGGTTTGCAGAGCCTCACTGGAGCTCCTCGGCTGTTGCAAGCCATAGCGAAGGACAACATTATACCTTTCCTCTGGGTTCGTACAGCTTAAAAACCCACCACTGCCACCACCAGAGCCATTCTGTACATAGTAACTAACCAGCTGTTTGACTTCATGCTCTTGGAAATCAGATTTATTTTCCCTAGTTTGCCCAGCATTGAAGTGAAGGTCAATATTTTTTACTTTAATACTTTGTTTTCTTTTGTTAAAAACTAGGAATATTTTTGAAGGCGTTTGAATAGACATATATAGTAATTTTATGAATAAAATTAGCATCCAATTTGGTGACGCACAGAAAGTCTTTAGAATAATTTGACTCGTTGCTCTAGAGAAAGAAGGATGTGGGAAAATTACTATTTTTTTTTTTATGTAATTTTTTTTTTTTTTATTATAACGATATGCAGTACTTGGAAGATATGTTTAATGTTTCTGTTCCTTCAGGTTTTTGGTCATGGAAAAGCAAATGGTGAACCGACATGGGCTCTTTTGTTAACAGCACTGATTGCAGAGCTAGGAATCCTTATTGCTTCACTTGACATGGTGGCTCCAATTCTCTCAATGTAAGAAACAGGCAGGTTGCTACTTAAGAGGGGAAGAGTGGTACTTTTGAGTTTTACTAATTTGATTGTCCTTCAGAACCATATTCTGGAACATGAGTTCCACTTTTATTATTTCTGTGAATTCTCTGACTTCAGGCTCTACATATAAATCTACTTGTTTCTGCTCTGGTGTATTATATGAATAAACATGTTTTAGTATATTTTTATTTTGTTTGGGAAAATGTTATTTTTATTACAGAACAAAGAAAGCATTGATGTTGCGTATAGATCTAACTTATTCTAACTACTGTATACTGATAGTTCAGGCTAGTAAAAATCAGATAAGCACACGTAACAGGGCAGGTGTATTTTGACTGTCAGTCATTCATATGATTATAATATGTGGCAGAATCTATAAATGTGTGTGCTAAAAGCTTTTGCCCTTTTTTGCTGCTGCAGGTTTTTCTTGATGTGTTACCTCTTTGTTAATCTAGCATGTGCAGTACAAACACTCCTTCGAACTCCAAACTGGCGGCCTCGATTTAAATACTACCACTGGTAAGTAAACGCCAGTGTTTTACCACTGGTAAACAGCGTGCTCAACGCCTAGTCTGTAAGCTGCAGTGAGGGTTTCAGAAGAACCGTCTCCATGAGGGTTGTGGACATCTTTTATTGCTCTAGGTATCAGCTCTAGACAAGAGTAGATGTCTTCTAGATTCATTTGTAGTAAACCAGACCAAGGTATTTAATGGCATGACAGTTTCATTTCAACAAGAAGACACTAAAAGTATTGGTGACTGGGGAGATTCACTGGAAGCTTCACTTCTGTTGCCAGTTCAGAACAGACAATTTAAAATAAAAAAGCAAGGGAATAATTGGCTTGTTTTTAAGCTTTTCTACACTGCTTCTTACTGGTATCTTTGTCTTTTGTTTTAGGGCACTCTCATTTTTAGGCATGAGTATTTGCCTAGCACTGATGTTCATTTCATCTTGGTATTACGCTTTGGTAGCTATGCTTATTGCAGGCATGATTTACAAGTACATTGAATACCAAGGGTAAGTATTGACTGGATAGAAAAGGGCAGGAAGGTGACTGGGTCTATTTTTTTACAAATTTTCTCTGGCTTTCACATTTGGAGAAGGATTTGTCCAGAGATACAACTTTCAGGGCTTCCCTTATTATTTTTCTAATTTTTTTTTTATTATTTTACTGTGTCAGCTAAACAAAAGCCCCTAAAGGTGTTTGGTGACACTTGAGAGTCACAGGAAGCAGAAGCAAGCTTGGTTGGGATCTATCCTTCTGCTGTCTGTCACATGTAAATCAGGCTGAAGGCAGCCATCTTACTCCATTTGATCTGATGCAAAGATCTGTCTACAACAGTCCTAGAAAGCTGAATCTGCAATTAGGTTGCCTGAGATAGTTAATATCTGATGGACTCAGGCTCTAGTTTGTGGCTGTGTAATGTAACTTTAACAATCAGGTATTGACATGCCTGATATTCATATAGGCTTGGGATGCTTCTGTAGTGGTGTGTTGCTTACACATGAAGCACAGAAAGGTGGTGGTGTCATACACATTTGACTTTAACATTTGCATTTTCTCATGTGATATATTGTATCTATTGTATCACAGACATACATGTACAAATGATAACTGTATGTGCGATGCATGCTACTAATCTTATTATAAGGTAATGTTTACTCTATAGTATGACTGTAGTTGTGCGATTAACCACTCACGAAACCGTATGTTGGCTAAATTGTGTGTTCTTCCCAGGGCGGAGAAGGAATGGGGTGATGGGATCCGGGGTCTTTCACTCAGCGCAGCAAGATATGCCTTACTCAGACTAGAGGAGGGCCCTCCACACACAAAGAACTGGAGGTACTCATTTTGGATTGATAACATCCACTGTCATGATTATCTACTTACATTTTAGGAATTAAACTGGACTCCAACCAAGATGCTTTTGTTCTGTGTGAATGAATTGAAATGCTCAGAATACTTAAAAACAAAAAGTTGAGTCTGTGGTCACTGCCCAGGCTCAACCATGCAGCTCCTGTCTGGGCAGATCTTTCATGTCCTTTGGATCTTTAATTGAATTCTGAACTGGTGAGATCAGAAGTGGAACTTGGGGAAACTGTGGAGGTCTCTGAGTACAGAGGTTCAGATGCCCATGGTAATTTGCACTGGGGACACAGAGAAGTCACTGCTATAAATCTAGGATTAAAAACCAGAACAAAGGTCAGCATTTTTCCTTCTGGATTTGTGTGTAGATCAGATGGGCAAACAGCTTCGTCTTGGTTATGCATCACACAGCTCTTAGGCTCTGAGCAAGAGGACTAGGAATCTACCAAAGAGAGTTTTATAAATCTTTTTATGCTTCCTCAACCTTAGCTTAAGACAGACAATACCTTAATTGATGTGTGGCAACACCTTAACAGACAGAAGGCAAGTGGGACCTGTATTTAGATGAAAATACTCATGTTTCCCAGTTGTTTGGTACAAGGATCCAGGTAGCTCTGGAAGGGCAGCCCTGCAATGTATGCTTCAGTTGTACTTAAAAGAGCCTTGAAAATGAGCCACATAAATAAAACACTAATGCAAGCCTCTTATGTACATGAATGAGTTTTGAGACTGTCAAAACAATACAGCAAAATAATTCCCTCAATGCTCAGGTCTGCTTTGAATCGTCAGAAATAAAATATTAAAATATTAAAATTAATATTAAAATATTAATTAAAACCCCTTTAGTGTGTGAGATACAGGAAGAATGTGCTGTTTCAGAGTTAGCATTTAAGCACAGTTAAAGGGATAGAGAGGCAGTTGTTTTAAAAGTGTTTTTGTTAAAGCCTTAGTAAAAAATAAATGCCCTTTTTTATTTTGTGCAGGCCTCAGTTGCTGGTGCTTTTGAAACTTGATGAAGATCTGCATGTAAAATACCCTAGATTGTTAACATTTGCATCCCAGCTGAAAGCTGGTAAAGGTTTGACTATCATAGGGTCAGTGATCCAAGGGAATTTCTTGGAAACTTACGGAGAAGCTCAGGCTGCTGAACAGGTCAGTGTCTTAAATTCTTAAAGTCAAAAGGGATGAGTGGGCAGACAACTTAAAGGTTTTGTAGTCATACATGGAAAAAAGTATATTCCAGGAGATACAAGACTAGAGGAGGAGTGCTACAGCAGTTCAGGAATGGGCTTGCAAACATGCTTTGACTGCTGATTCTGACTTTGGGAGTATAAATTATCAATGCTTGCAACTTTTGTAAAGAGCCTTACTGCATAAAACTGTCTTCATTTATAAGAAATACTAAGCGTGAAAGTTTAGGTATGCTGATCAGTGGAGGGAGGAGTACTGGTTAGGTTTCTGAACATACCAAGAAACATTTCAGTAATTGTCAGTTATTACACACTTAGCAAATGTGCTGTGTCTCTTCCAGCATGGTAATAAATTTCTTAAAGAAAGCATCAGAGGATGGTCCTGAAAATATATTAATAAATCCGTTCATATTCCTTGCTGTGCAAATGTGACATCATAGCCCTGTTTACATAGTATCAGGACATCACTGTTTTCTTCCCCAGCGGCTTTTTATACAGGAAAACTGTTACAAGGGAAAAACTAATTCACAAGCCTATGTGTTGACCAAATTTGATTAGTTTTTAAATAAAGGTTATGTTATTCCTGATAGGTTTGGTGGTTATATTTGTAAATTGAATATAACAACACCGTATGCGACATAGGAATCGGGAACTGGAAATCCAAATGAAGTTAGTTAACCTTGGGTTTAAAAGGCAAGTGTTTTAGGATTAGAAGATGGAAAGTGAGATAGTAACACAGGTATCACTAACTACTGCTATGAGTAAGAGAACCAAGAAACTCTTATGCTAATCTGTTAGAAATAATGATGCTTGGAAAGGAACTGTGTGTGTTTTAAGCAAGTATTATACACAGTAAGTGGATATTTTCTCTTCTGTTTTATTAAGGAAAGCAGATGAGCAGAACTTTGCTTTGAAATGTGTTTTACCTGTGGATGTGTGAACCAGGAATTTAAACTGTAATCACATGATAGAGAAACACAGAGTTCCTTTCGGTTGTGAGGTTTTTCCTTGTCTGTCTTGCAGACTATTAAGAATATGATGGATATTGAGAAGGTGAAAGGATTTTGTCAAGTAGTCGTAGCAAATAAAGTTCGGGAAGGAATTGCCCACTTGATCCAGTCCTGTGGACTAGGTGGCATGAAGCATAACACTGTGGTTTTGGGATGGCCGTATGGCTGGAGACAAAGTGAAGATCCAAGGTCGTGGAAGACGTTTATAGGTGAGCTTAATAGGTTGTGTGTGATCAAATACTGTGAAGAGAGATGTTTATTACACACCTGGCACACAGAGGGGGTTTGAACAGAATCCTTGTAAAACTGGTTTTGGTTTTAGTCTTTTTGTCTTTTTTTCAGTATTGATTGTGAAGTAGATAATTTCTCACAAAACTGTTCTATGTTTGGAATATCATTTCTTGTATGTAAAAGGCCTATGAGAGATCCTCAAAGATTGATTTAGCAGCTAAAATTCACCTGTGTAATGAATGGTTAAAAAGTTACAGACTTAAGAGATGCTGTTTTAATGGCAAACTGTCATATGTTTCCTCAATAATCTGTCTTTTCACTGGTCCCGACCTGTCCTTCTCTCTTCATTACTGTAGCCAATGCCTTCCTTGCCTGTACCCTTCTCCTTCCCCTATGGTCCAGTTCCTTAACACAGTCAGATTAGAACAGAGGAGATGCTTTCTCCTCATTCCTAGCTTTGGAGATTGCTCCTTTTCTTTCAAAAATGAAATAGGGCTTGGTTCCTGTACATCTGCTTTATCTGGGCTTTGTCCTTTGGTCTGACCTGTCTCTGCAAGCCTTGCTGTACGTACTTTATGTAACTGATGACTTTTAAGCTTTGCTGACATTTACTTTAATAACTGGTTTATTTGTTTAGGACCATAGATCACTGTTGCAGAATTGGAAGTAACTGTCTATCCTTCCTCTGTTGGGCAGGTACTGTTCGCTGCACGACTGCAGCCCATCTGGCTCTGCTGGTTCCCAAAAATGTGTCTTTCTACCCCAGCAACCACGAGCGTTACAATGAAGGCAACATTGATGTGTGGTGGATTGTGCATGATGGAGGCATGTTGATGTTGCTTCCTTTTCTTCTCAAACAGCACAAAGTAAGTAGCTAACTAAAGAATGTCACCCAACTATTTCTCCAAGAGTTAAAGAAACAAGTTCCAGTGGTAGAGCCTGTATTGATAAATGAGAGTGGATATATTCATAAGTTCCTGTCCCTTAGTTCAGATACGAAAGCGTTTGTGTTCCCTCCCCAGGTTTGGAGAAAATGCAAAATGAGGATTTTTACTGTAGCTCAGATGGATGATAACAGCATCCAGATGAAGAAGGACTTGGCTACTTTCCTCTATCAACTCCGAATAGAAGCAGAGGTAGAGGTGGTAGAAATGGTAAGGAATTTGAGCCTGGTTTTCACTTTATGATGCAAATGGTGGTATTTGGTTCTGACTTGATTACAAGCATAGTATTTTTTTCTTATTTCTGCAGCACAATAGTGATATTTCAGCATATACGTATGAGAGAACTCTTATGATGGAACAGAGATCTCAGATGCTGCGGCAAATGAGGCTGACAAAAACAGAGAGGGAAAGGGAGGTATGTCATTCTTGATTGATCGCTATGGGCTGCTGAGGTGGATGACATGAAGTACCTTCCTGGTAGTGTTTTACATAGCTGCTGCTTAATTTTAACTCCTATGTTCTAAAGATGTAAGGAAATACTTTTAGTGTAGCTTTTATGTTTCCCAGAATTGCTTGTAGTCGTTGGATAGCTTGGCTGTCCTTCTAAAACTGTGCTAGAAATTATTTGTTTAGGGGCAAAACAATGGCAGTGTATACACTGTAGAAAGGATTTGTGTGTTCCCCTTTGTGATGTAAATGACACTTGATGACTTGATGTCTCAACATCTTCTTGATCCTGTTGCTTTATATGGGATGTCTGGGGTTTGTCTCAATTTATAGCATATCCTGTTTTCCTACGGAAGATTTCATTCCAGTTTGGACTGTCAGGACACGTAGCGATGACAGGTGCAGGTGATCTGATATTTCTGCATGTGTTTGTTCAACTTTTTTGTTGTAGGTTTTGAGTCAGACTTTTCCATTGTTTCAGACCATGCCATGATGTGAGCTAGACAGTCTCTCTTGTATAACTACAGGCCTCTGTTAATCCCAATACTGCATGGTTTATATGCGTCAAAACTGCTCAAAGTTAGTTTGTTGTGTAAGATCACCAGCTAGGGCAGATGCCTTGTTTGAGAGCTGTTCTAATGGCTAAATTGACTGTACAGAATAAAGGATACAATGGAATAAGAAGTTTTTTATTGCTTAAATAGAACCAGGGAATGTAAAATAACGTCTCTCCTTGTCATTCATGTGACCCCTAGGCTCAGCTGGTAAAGGACAGGCATTCAGTGGCACGTCTAGAAAGCCTCTACTCAGATGAAGAAGATGAGACAGAACCAGTTCCTGAGAACATCCAGATGACCTGGACGAAAGAGAAATGTGACGCTGAGAAGCGGAACCGAGGCAGTGCTGTGGGAAGCTTTAGAGATCTCATCAGCATTAAGCCGTGAGTCTTGTCTAAGTCAACAGCTTGCACCTCCTGAAACTCCAGATGTGCTATGCTTTTACTATCTTTGTCTCTCAATCCTTGGTTTAGACTTGCACAATAAACATTGAGACCCAACTACTGAAAAGACAGCAGTTAGCCTCCTGGGAAGTCTCTCACCAATTAAATGTGGCACACATCCCTCAGTATTTTGCTTGGTATAGTCAAATTCTATCATAACTTTCCTCCGGTCTCCCAAATACCTCAGCAAAACACACATTCTAAAACCAGATTGCTGATTTCACTGATCTAATCAGAATTAAAAAATAAGACTGATAATTTCAGTATCTAATGCATAGTTGCGGGTGTTCAACGGAGCAGGGAAGCAGATGTGGAGATGGTGATGAATGACTATGAACAGAGTATGTGTGTGACGCAGCCCTCCAAGACAGACTTGCTGTTGAAGGAGTACTGACATGTAAGAACAGCTGTAGCTGTGTGTGTCCTATGAAGAACTGGAAGTAAAGGTCTCCTTTGGCTTTGCATAAAAATGTGTGAATCTTTGATGTACCATATCTTACTTGAAGAGTTCACACAGTTTTGCAATCTCAGCAAAGTTCTAGATTTTTCTTCCTAATAAATCAGTGAGAGTTCAAATCTGTTTTAGGCTGAATCATACTGTAGAAATTCTGCTGAATTTGGTGTTAACTACCTGTACTTTTTCCTCTTCCATGCTTTCAGAGAGTGGGAAAACTTGTAAGTTTGTTATTTAACTCAGAAGTACATTAAGATGGTTGAGAGGCAAGGCTTCATTTTCTCAACTGAAAGTAGGAAAACTATATGTAATTATGGAAGGAAAGAAAAGGAGTTAGCTGAGCAGTCTTAGCAGTGTTTTTAAAGGGAGCAGGATTACCCACTTAAGCCAAGTATCATAAGTAGCACGTGACAGACTACAAAAGCTGTCCTGACAGGAACTAAGTCAGGATAGAAAACAATTACAGGTCTGAACCTGTTTTCTTAAGCAGAGTATGACATGGGAAGCATTACTGATCTAGAGAAGCTCTCGTTCCACAATATTGCTATGATGTTATTTCTGTCACTTTCTGGGCACTAAAAAACCCCTTTCTTATAGCCTATACTTTCAAATCCCTGTGGTATGTGTGGGAGATGCCAATTATAAATGTCACTTTGGGAATACCAAACCTTTAGTTGACAATTCCTTTTCCAAAACTATGTGCAGTTAATGATGATGCGTTGCTTCTGGTGCTGGTTTCTTCCTCACTTCCTGCAAACATAACCTGGCTTCTATGTTATCCCTGACTTTCTGAAGCTGATGTGAAGACAGAGGATGTCCTTGATCTAAATTAAATAAGAACATGCAATAATGGAGAGGCAATTCACAGTGGGTAAATTGTGCTGTTAGTGTAATAAACATTATTCTTATCATAACATCTTCCATTTTCTGTCTGTATAAATATTTTTTTTGCAAACCTAAATGTTCAGAAGAGCAGTAAGGTTACTAAAAACTTTCATAAAGCTGAGTTAACAAAACTATAGATTTATATTAGATTAGTTTCAACTAATACTTATTTTTAATATGTTAAAATGAAGAAAAAAAACCCCAAACAAGTTCTCCCTTTCTGTATTGTTTTACATTACCAAAATAATAGTTGATTTTCTGGAGGAAGGGAACATTCACGGGCTCAAAATCCTTGAAAGATGCTTTCCACTTCCATTCCTGCATGAATGGGTGTTGTGATAATATCTTCAAAATAATTAATCCTGTTGCCTTTCCTAGCCTGGATTCTTAAGGAGTAGAGGCTTTTGAGATCATTCTTCACCTATTCCTTTCTCTCCCATAACTTTTGAACCAAGTGGCTACTCAAATTTGAAAGCATGATTGAGATTTTAAAGCTACTCAGGTCATCAGTGTTTGTTGTAAATAGCCAGGCAGAAAGGTCCATTAGTGTCCAGCTGGAGGAAAGGTTAAAACCATTACCAGAAACCAGGAGGGCCCTGCCAGCAGTCATACACCCAGCTGTTTGTGGGCTGTGTTTCAGTCTATGGATCTACAGGAAATCAAGCTTTCTTTGGAGTTGTCAACTGCTGTTCAACACAAAAAGCTGAGTGCACACGTGGGAAGTGTGGGCTGAGCACAGTGGTGCTGGCCTCCCGCTTGGTTCCAATGGATCTCTGAGTTTTTTTGGTACCAAGTCCAGAGAGGTGCATGGTCTGTGCTGCCGGGGGAGCAGAGGGATGCCTGAACGGAAGACTCCGGAATCACAATTGTCTGTGGTCAAAGAGCATGTACCCTTGTGGAGATGTGTTTTAGCTTCTTACACAAGACTTACATCACCTTTGTAAGTCACGCTTCTTGAAGAGCGATATAACTTCATAACCCAGAGACTTGATCCAGGGATCTTAAAATCTGTGGACTAGCTGTACCTGAAGAATGCTGTAAAATCTCTTCTGTACCTTCATCATTAAGTCTGAAAATATTTAATGTGTGTCAACATGTAACGGGGTATTTAGGAGACTGCAGGTATGCTTTTAGGGGCCTCTTTAGTTTTTCAGAGACATGTTTCTAACAGTAAGTCTGAATGTGCTTCTTCTACAGGAACCAGTCTAATGTCCGAAGAATGCACACAGCAGTGAAGCTGAATGAAGTTATTGTAAATAGATCCCACGATGCCAGACTTGTTCTTCTCAACATGCCTGGTCCTCCAAAGAATACTGATGGTGATGAAAACTGTATCCTTTCAGGCAAGGCCTGGGCCACAGAGAGGATCTTTCTTTGAATTCAGTTTGCCACAAATACTGTCAAACTGTAATGTGTGACAAAGTGTCCATGGAGCGGAGGGTACGGGCTTCTTGTGGCTGTTAGGTAGTAATTCCTAAAGTAAAAGTTGCCACAGAACCCTTATAGGTTTGCATTCATTGTTGTCTAAACTCTTACTTGATTTATTTATTAAATATGTTTAATAGTGGAAGTAGCAGACATCTAAGGTGCATTCACAGCAGCCGGCACTCTGGGCAGAGTGACATCTGGATCCAAATGAACAGAAGTCCTGAAGGAGAGGGCGCATTGCAGGTGTAGCTCATGCATGAGAATTTGGGAGCTTAGCTCCAAGTGCAATGCTCTGGTAAGGTTAAGATTCAAATCCAGAGTGTTTCAGAACATAGAGGGATATTTGCACTGTGCCTTGGAGAAAGGTGGGAGCTGAGGATTTGTGAGCTGGCTGGCATTGCAGTTCTCTGTCCACAGCTGTTCTTCAGCCTTGGTTTGCACTGTTAAATGAGCAAGCCTTTCACTGGCCTGTGCCAAAAATATGTGTCACAAATCACAGACTAAGTGATTGGTTTCTCCTAAACCTAGATAGTAGTAGTAATGCTGTTTCACAACGCGTGCCAGCTAAAGTAAGGGTAGAAGCATTCCTCTTAGCATAAGTGAGGTTTAACTGCAGCTGCTGCAGCTCAGGAGAGATTTTAAACTTGAGGTTATGGGCGATGATGCTTAATACTTCACAATTCCCTGGGGAGGCTGAGCCACTGTGACTGAAGAACACTACATGTTCACAGAGCGTGGCTGGGAGGGAGTGTGGCTGTGTAACCTGGTGCACCAGCATTACTTCTGAGTGCAGCTTCGGGCAGTGGCAGGTTTGTTTTGGAGCCATTTGAAACTGGCTCTGTGCAACATGGGGCAGCCCCTGGTCTGGTCTCCCAGAGGATGCCCCTGCAGCCTCCCCGCTGCCAAGATCTTCCCACAGAAACCCAACACAGGCTAACCACCCTGTATTTTGGGTTTGATATTCCTGTTGTCCTTGACTTCCCTGAAACAGACATGGAGTTCCTGGAAGTCTTGACAGAGGGTCTGGAGAGAGTACTACTTGTGAGAGGCGGCGGCCGAGAAGTCATCACAATCTATTCCTGATTTAGTACAAGCTTCTAACATTGGTCTACATTTACCTTCTTGGTGATAATGGACATTCCAGTTTAAAATGGAGAAGAAAAAAAAGGTCTTTTTGCCGAAGTTTCTCCTCATCCAGTCCTGTCCATTGTCTTTGCATTTGCAACATACATATCTTTTGGGATTGCAGTCTTGTTGTTATACCATCCAATTAGCAACCTAAGTTAATTGTGAAGCTGCCACATTATTAAGTTTCTGCTTTGGTACTCCAGCATTCGTGCATGTAGTTTTAACACTAAACCTATTTTTATTTTTAATCAGCACTGCTATGTGCAGTATTTTTAGTAACTGTATGTAAAGTTAGGACATGAAAGCCAGTTACTGTAAAAAGATTTTAAAAGCTTTTTATATTAGGTTTGGGGGCTAGAATTACATTACATAGCAGCTAGATTCTGCTGAAGTCCAGCTGTAAAGCATTTTCTAAGAGCACAGTAAATTGTGAGAGGGGACTGAAAAAGCTTTGTTTTTCTGGGTTTATTTCCAGAACTAAACTCTCAGTATTGGATAAGAATTTATACTTTTATTACATTTATTGATAGAGATTTAAATAAATTATGTTGATATAGCTGCAATTATGTATGTAGCTTGCTACAAACTGTTGCTTCTGAGACTTGAGGTTCTGTGAGGCCAGATCCCTATTTATTTTTGTATTTATTTGTCAGAAATATCAGATAAGCAGATACAGACTGTTTAGGATAGCAGAGATCTCTCAATAAATTTTAAATTGGCAGTGGATTGAAGGACCAGTCCTGTACAGTTCTTCCATGCTTTAAATTTCTTGCAGACCATCCATCAAAGTACATTGAGCATGCTGGAGTCCCACGTGTAGAGCAGGGCGCTTTGCTGCACGCACAGCGGTGGGATTGCACTTGCACGAGCACAGGGGACCTGCAGCTTCATTGTTTGCTTTATGCCCTTAGAGGAAAAAGAAGAAAAGAAGACCTGTATTAACTAATAAGTCTCCAGAGAGTTTATTAAGCCCATGAAGTTGTACTTTATGTACAGAACATTGGTATTTTTTCAATAAAACATTGCATACACTTTGACCCTATCCTCCATTCTGCGTGCCATGCCAGCTCGCTGGGAGAATGCTGTCTGTCCTTCCCTGCGCTGTGGCACTGCGCAGGGGTGTGGGGAGGTTGATGGGGCTGCGCTGGTGTTCACTGAATCGCTCAGTGACTGCTCAGTGGAGACACTAGCTCAGGCTTCAGAGCAGCCTGGTGCTGTGCCCGAGTGTGGGAAGGCTCCTGGCTCTGGAATTACTGCCGTATGCAATAACCAGGTGGAAGTCTGCACCTGTAGACTATGAAACGCATGCAAGCTGGAACCCCCTCAAGATCTTGGGCTGTCTGGGAAAGCTGTTACCCCATACAAGGGGTAGAGGTGAGCTAAGCTCCATGGGATGCATTAGTAGTAAAGAAAAAGAAAGGTGGGAACTGATGCATTTCTCTGACTTGTGTGCTCTTGTTAGTTGGTGTTACACTAGTTGTGCAACCTTGTTGTGATAGTACTCTTAGTTGTTTCCCTGATAAAAGCATGTCTGTGAGACAGAGATCTGGAAAGCTATCCAGGCGGCTGTCTTGAATAACATAATAAAAAAATGCTTTTTATCAGTTTTATGGTTAAAGCCTAAGCTTGTTCTCTCTGAAACAGGACCTTCCTGGTGGGAGTGGGATGGCATTAGTGCCTGCAGGATCCCTTTAAGACACCAGCCAGGGAACAACTCTAGGGTGCGCTCTTGGATGGATATTTTGTACTATATTTTTGTAACACGGGCTTTGCTTTTTTGGTTTTGAAACCAAATTCTTTTCACTCATGCTTTAAAACCAATGAAAAGAATAAACCTTGTTTATTTGTAAGTAGTGTGCTATTTGTAGAGAGGTCATTTTCACATCTTCAGAGGACTGAGTAGGACTACACAAATGTACAGCAATCATGATAGTTAACACCTATTTGCAAGCATTTATCTACAGGAGTAATAAAGTTTATAAAAACATGTATTCCTCAGACTTTTGTAGGTATGACTGAGATTAAATGTCTTTTACCAAATGTAAACGTCTAATATACACATGCTGAGCAATGCATACAGTTATTCCTTTGGAAATGTAATACGTGACCTAACTCCACCTCACAAAAGCATTTCAGTGCCATCAATTACTTGACCCAAGTAACCTGTTAGTGGTTTTATTGTGTTTTTAACATCTAATGAAGTGACTATCCTTACAGATAACTTAGATTAGGGTTTCAAAGGTGATTCTATGCAGTGTGGATTGAAAAATCCAATCCCTAATTCAGCATTGTGTGGACCGTAAGGGTTTAATAGTCTCCAATTACGCAAGTTCCTCTGAGACTTCACTCACACCAAGGTGTGAAGTATAGGTGTGCATGTCAGTGAAAACTGAAGTGAGCATGGGAAACGTTGTGTAAGAAACCCATCAATGGAAAAGGTAATTTCTAGCTGAGTCAGCTTCTGTGAGGGTACCCAAATGGTGACCTCCCTATGCTAGAACCCTTTTTGGTAAGGAGATGAGAACATCGCAGCTAAAATACAGTAAGACAAAGTTGATTTAAGCTCTTTGTATACGGGTATGGAGAACTCCACTTAAAACTTCCATTGCATTGTTTTAATAGTTAGTTATTAGAAAAACCCTACGGTAGCACAAAGATGTCACTTTGCTTTATTTTTCATCTCCAGAACACCTGCAAGCAGAGAGCCGGTTTACTCGTGAGTAAATGTTCGTGGCACTGCGGCGGCTGCCTTAGCTACGGAGCAACACAAGAGGGCCCCAAGCTGCCTCCGTGGGGTCCCCCCGCCTAAGGAAACCCCACCGCAGCTACCCGGCTTGTTTGGGAGTTAATACTGAGTGGTGATTTTTCACACTATTCATCAAAACAGGGCTTCTTTGAATTCTAGATGCACTGATAGGAAATGAAATGTGATAAATTAAAACATTTCCATTTAAACAATACATCCTCCTCCCCTGTCCTCATTTCTCAGTTTCTGATCTGCGTCATCCATAATAATGTTTGCTTCTTCAGTAGTTCCCTTGGGAAGGGAAAAACTGCCTCATGCTGTGCTCTGGAGGTCAAACGTTCTCATTCCATTCTGGAGCCGTTATCCCCCTGCACAGCCATTGGTCCTGATATGTAGGCAGATGCTGCCAGTACAAAGTGCTGCTTTCCCACCAGGAGAGGTACCTCATCACTCTGGATCTGCCATGTCAACCAGCAGTGCTCAGAAAACTGATGTAGGGCAGCAGGTGATAGGGTTTTGACAAGCAGTTCCCATCATCATCACTCTCTTCCAAGCTCAGACAGCTCTGAACGAATGCACCCTGCCAGTGGACAATTGACTAAAATGGAGTTTGTGGTTGGCATCGTCTGTCAAAAATTCTCTCTTCACTCCTCAAATAGCACATGCAGGCTTCCCGCTGCTGGGAGACCTGTATCAAGGGCATGTCTCTTCCTTTAGCTGGGAAAGACACCCGCCAGCCAGGCAGATACTGCTCCCTCCTGGCAGGCCTGATGTTCATTGCTCCTGTCAATTCCCAAAGCAAGCCTGTCCAGTGCCTTGAGAAGTGCTAGGCAGCCGCTGCACTGACTGTGTGTGATGGGCTAAATCTGAGCTGGGAAATGGGTGAAAGGCTGAGCAAACAGGACAATTTCAAAAGTAAAGGGGTACCTGGCTAGTGTCATGTGGTATTGGGAGGTGTCTCTGACCTACCACTGCACAGGGCTTTGGCTGACGTTCTCTTTCACTTCCCTGCACCTCTTGTGGGACTCCCAAGACAACTGTCAGTACTTGACACCATGAGGTCCGAGGCTTTCCAGCTTACAGTGATTTCTGCTATTCCCTGGCAATGTCAGTTACATAGACATCACTACTAAAATGGAAATGTGGCAAGATGTGTCCATGGCCCACAGATGGCACTGCTAGAGGGTTAGTAACAAAGCTAGAGAACTCAGGGAGAGGCCTCAGACTTTTAGAGGTCTGTGTTGTACAAAAGGGCTAGCTATTCTATGACATGAAAAGAAATATAAGCAGGATTGGACTGTATAAGGCATAAATCTCATCCATTATTAAATAAGTAAAAAATTGATATAGCTGACCAAAGAAAGCATTTTTACAGAATTGCTAGAAGAGGAGAATTCCAGTGGGTTCACTAATCTTCTAAGCAAAGGCAGTCAGGATCTATGACTAGATATTCTGTGTTAGCTCCAACAGGGACATGAAAGCAGCAAGTTACTATTTTCATGCATAACTCTCCAATGCTTGGATATTATTTACCTGTTTCCTTCCAACCCAACCCAGACACTGAAGTTTCAAAATAGTGATACCATGGGAAAGCTCTTCTCCTCAGGAAACTGAAACAAGAGCTGAGGTGAGCCTCTCTCATGCGCTGTTTTTGATGTAACTTAATGCAGGAGTGTCTTAATCTGTTGCACAGGCTGTGGTTTACACTGAGCACTTACGTATGATGTTGTCTATGATGTCAATGCTAAAGATGTGTGAGTGCTCTCTAACAACTTAGTCCTTTACACTGTGTGTCAACGAGAGGCAAAACCAGCAGCCAGCAGGGCATGTGAATGGAAAAATAGTTCGTAGAAACAGAAAAAGGAATAAAGAACCCAAAGTCAAGAAGCCTGTGGACTGATCTTTGTTACTGTTCCTCAGTTTTTCATAAGCTGTTTGCAGGAGTTCATTTCTGATTGTGTCTTTCAGCTGCCAGACTGTTAGTATTTCCACTTGCCTGCTTTATATTGCCAAATACATAGGATTTTCGTGTAACACATCTGAAACAATTTCCTAAGTGTAATAATTTCATTCTGCTTTTAAATTTAGAGCTACTATTAAATACCTTGATTTGATTTCTGTTGTATTAAAAAAACCCGCACAGTTAATAAGGAATCAATTGCTGAGGCTTAAAAAAAAAAGAAAGAAATTCACCACAGACATTAGCAATCCAAATGGAATATGTAAATAGTCCCCATCAAAATAAGCTGGCTACAATTAGGACTGAATGTATTTTTAGTTGGCTCCTTTCATGTCATTTACCAGGGTTCACACAAGCTGTTCCCACAATATAACTCTTTGTGGTTATCTGCTCTTTTCTTTTTCAAGGACAAGTACAGTTAGCTTCCCCAGAGGCCAGCTGTGCAGGCGTGAAGCATGGCCCTGCTTAATGTTTGTGGACTTTAATTTAGCATAACTCTGGTCTTGTCAGAGTGGCTTCAGCTCTGTTTTTCATGAAAAGGAAAAGTGGTTGGTTGGGCTCTCTTCATTACCATTTTCAACAACTTGCTTGAGTCTATAGAGATATTTCTCACCTCACAAGAGCTCATCGAAGTGGTCAGCCAGGCCAGACAACTAAAATGAACATGATGATAAAAAGCGGATGAGCTTCACTCCAGCTGGTCTCTTAGGTGGGTTCAGTTTAACTCCCATGCCTTGTTTCTCCCATACTAAAGCTAAAGATGTGAAAGATTCTGCTGTGAGCAAAGCTTTCCAATTACATTGTCCCCAGAGTGGTGCATGACTTCTACCATGTATTTTTTTCTCTCAGATTTGAGAACCCACTCCTTTAAACAGGCATGATTTACTATGTGTTTGGGGACATCTACTTTTTTCTTTCTGCCAGCTGTTATGTCAGTAACTAATGGAAACTGGCAGAAATTCCGTATCGTTTGGTAAACCAAAAGTGTTTCACCTCAGCATCTGTACAACCGGGCCTACATCTGGAGAATGCACACTGAGAGTACAAAACGCTGCCTAGAAAGTCAGTGTGGCTCCATTCTAATATGGCTAAATCTGATTCTGATGTTCTCATCTTCTGCTGTCGTGTGCACAGAATTCCTTCCGGCTTCCTACACAGACTGTACCTGGGGTACAATGGCAGCCCAGAGTGGCACCTTTGGAGAAAGTAGGTTATTCTTTCTGTAACAGTTAGAGATCTTTCACTCTGAAAGCCTCTAAAGGCTCCTTGACCCCTGTGGATGTAAACTAATACAAAAAGTCATATTAGCCTCCCATCTAAAGCACTTACCA